GACATACCACTTCACACTCACTGGAGTGGCTGAATAAAAAAGTCAAGTAATAACAAGAGTTGGTGAGGATGTGAAGAAATCAGAACCCTCACATACTGCTGGTGAGGGTGTAAATTGTTGCAGCTGCTTTGGAAAAAGAGTCCAGCAGATCCTCAAATCATCAAACATAAAGTTACCATATGATCTAGCAGTTGCACTCCTAGTAATCCCACCCAAGATAAATGAAAACATTATGAAACAAGTCCACACAGAACTTGTGCCTATTTATAGCAACATTATTCAGAATAGCCAAAAAGTGTAAATAACCCAAAAGCCCAACAACTGGGCTTCTGGATACACATAATGTGGTGTATCCACACAATGGAATATTATTCGGCCTTAAAAAGGGATGAAGTACTGATACATATTACAACATTTATGAACCTTTGAAACCATTATGTTAAGTGAACAAAGTCACATATATGAGTCTATTCACATGAAAGTACAGAACCAGAACCTATAGAGACAGAAGGTAGATTTCTAGCTGTCTAGGGCTGAGGACAGAAGCCAGGGGGTGGGGTGGGGGGACTGCTAAAGCATATGAAATTCCTTTTTTGGGGAAGAAAATGTTCTAAAATTGGCTAAGTTTGACTAAAATGACTAAAATTGACTGTGGTGATAGCTGCACAACTCTGTGAAGTGTACACTTTAAATGGGTAAATTGCACAGAATGTGAATTAGCTCTCAATAAAGCTGTTAAACAGTGATGACATGCAGTATTCAGTTCTGATCACATGAGCACAAAGGTGGGATTGTCAGATGCTGGACACTGCCAGGGGAGGGCGGCAGGGAGCGGGGGGCACATGGCAACACACTGGGTACCTGGTCCATGATTAGGGGAGCCAGAAACCCAAACTTCACCTGCAGACAACCTATTTATGCAGTAAATCCTCACTTGCACTCCACAACACTACAATAAAATAAAAAAATAAATAAAATTAACGAGTTCATTAAAATAATGACATGGTCTACATTGCTTTTGAAAGACGTTCACGATCATTTAAGAACTTGTCCCACTACATGTGAAATGTGATCCTGTATGTGTGTGCTTTTTATTTATTTATTTCTTATTTTTGAGTTGTGTCTCACTTTGTCACCCAGGCTGGAGGGAGTGGCACGCTCATGGCCACCACAGCCTTAACCTGCTGAGTTCAGGCGATCTTTCCACCTCAGCCTTCCAAGTAGCTGGGACTACAGGCATATGCCACAATGTTTTTTTGATTTATTGTAGAGATGAGGTCTCACCATGTTTTCCAGTTTGGTCTCAAACCCATGGGCTCAGACAATCCTCTAGCCTTGATCTCCTAAAGTGCTGGGATTACAGATGTGAGCCATTGCACCCAGATATGTTTGTGTGTTTTTAAATCCACACTTATGGATAGAAAAATAATCTAGAAACACATTAACCAAAATGTTGACTGCGGTGGTTAGGTGGTAAAATTTCAGATGCTTTCTTGAAAATGTTTTTCCATATTTTCTGAATGTTTTGCAATGAGTATGTGATGCTTTTATATGAAAAAATAATAAATATACTTAGAAATCTGCTCTATTTAAAAATATTTCTTATAAATGGTTATTAATGTTATTATAAAAAGAGTAGCAGGAATACAGACTAAAGGCAAGTAGATTGCTCGCTACATGACACTTCAAAGTCCTTAATCCTTTATAATCCCATGAGTCTTCCACAAGCAAAAGAGCTACAGAGGTTGTATGCCCTGGTTCAGCAACCTGTTCGATATAGAGGCCACCACTCTTAGTGACTGAGGAGAAGGCATGGAGAGGGGTTTAGTTCACAAACAATAGTGAACTCTCCTAGAGTAATGGCACATCTATAATTAGTGTAAGATGGTACAATTAAGAAATAACTGGTGACGTCGTGAACACATTTCCCCAAATGCTTAACTCAGAGTATCAATAACAGTTTCACTTGAAGATAACTTAATTTCAAACCCTCAAAATATTTTAATATGGTTTCTGATATTGAGGGGCTACGGTCTCCAAGACAGTAAATTCAAACTCTTCCATTGTCATTACCCCTGACAGCCTTCATTTATGGGACCAGACTCCATAGACACTTAGGAAATAACATAAATGGAATGCAATGGCAAACTCTACCGAAGATTAAGAAGCCATGCTTATGGCCCTAAGCAGGGATCCCAAAGAACACAGTGTACGGGCGTCCCTCCCACATTCCCACAGGACATCTTGGTGGTGTACACAGAGCAGCCACAAAGCCACAGGGTGTCTCTATGACTCCAGTAGATCCCATGGTTCATAATGTTCCGGTGCAGATGAGAGGAGGGACCAGAGAATCAGAGAGGCTGGGATGTATTAGTATTGTCGTGTGTAGACTTGGGAAAAAAAGGCCAATCAACTAAAGGAATTGATTTATCTTTCCACACCAGAGACAAGCAACACAGAAATCCGTAAGGTATTGTTATGAGGTTTGCATCTGTACATAAGGGGTATTACATTGAAAAGAAATACCAGAGTAGTCTGCATGGCCAGGGAGAATGACAGGAGTAAAAGATCAACAAATCCAAATACATATTAGACCCCAGAAGACAGACATACTGATTTCTGCGATGTCAGGAGTCCATGCATAGAGCTGCTTGACAGCTCTGCTAAGAGCTTTCACCTCTGCTTATTGGGTCTTATGTACCTAAATAAGCCAGTTATTGAAAGCTGGTGTGCTAAAGAGAAGCTTCCTGCATTTGCTGGTGTTTCCTAATTGACTCCATGTCACGCCTCCATCTCAGGGTCTAGGCTTTGAGGCAGGTGGGTCTCCATCAGGTTAACAACTCAATGTCTATCAGTGCTTCCCAATGTGTATGTGTGGGGTGGGATGCTGAGAGTGGGGTGGAGGAGACACAGCATAGGTTTCTGATGCTTGGAAAGGGAATGACCTCAGTAATACAGCATCCCATTGTGTGGATGCACCCTCATTTAGCTCACCAGTTTCCTATCAGTTCAGTTGGGCAGCTTTTTTAGTTTTATTTTTTTCCTATTACAAATGTCTTCAATGCTTACTGTGATTGTGTCTCTGTGTATAATCCTCATGCATTTATGCAAGATGGAGTGTAAATAATGGCCAAGCCCAAATTATAATATTCCTTGAAGTCAAAACTGCTTTGAGTCCTTGGGAAGTCTTTGATGATTAACAGGGCTTAGAGAGGAGTAAACTCAGAGAAAGTGAAAGCAAGCCTGATTCTTCCCTGCCCCGGGCTAGGGAAGAGGTGAGGATGCAAGCCTCCCAGTCCACCTACTTCCACGCTGTGTGTCATGTTCAAGAAATGATACGTCAGATTCATGTGAGTTTCGCTCCCCCAAACGAACTCTGAGAAATATTCATACTTCAGGAAGATGTCTCTCTTTTTAATCTTCTGGCAGATAGCTGCAAACCTTAATGCTGAGGAGGCCACACACAATGGCATTTCGCGTTGCCACATGTCTCAAGTTTTCTAAGCCTGCAGAGAACCTCTTGGCCAAGAGTTGCTATGTAGAGCACCAACTTCCTCTGTCAACCTCGGCTCATATGCACAGAACAAAAGACCACATCCTGTCTCCATTGTTGAAGAATCATTTAAATAATATGGCTCTCACTCAGTGAGATGTGGGTAGTCAATGGGTATGATGGTGTGACACACGTGGCAAACAGGATGGAAACATGACCCATGTCAGCCAGGTAAGACAATCTTTTTAAGTTTAGTGCTATTTTATCTTTTCTGAACGGGTTCGACGGTTTGCTTTCCAAGCGTCAGGAAAGACCCTTGGGAACCAGACAGTAGCACTGCACGAATGTTTCTCGTCTGCATTTTCACGAAGCCGCTGACGTCACAAAAGGCTTCTGAAGCGCGGGTGGCGGGAGCCACAGCACGACAGCCGCCCAGAGCCCTGGTCCCGCGTTGG